GCAAGAGTGACGAACGAACAAACAAAAAGACATGGGGATGATGCAGTTCCATGGATATAGTTTACCACGTGGCATAAATCTTATCGTTAGGCTACGTTGGTCGGCTATATTATTAGACGAATATTCCACGTCAGCTGTCCCTTTTTTTCGTTCTTCAAAGAAAATGTGAAGTCTCTATTTTTTTGGTTTTGTCGTGTCACGTGTGGTTATAAATTAATAATATGAGTTCGACCAAAAAAAAAATTAATAATATGAGTAAGTGTAAGTGTAATAGGTAAGAGATTGTACCAAGAAGAAGTTTGAAAAATTCATCTTTTCTGTGAATATGAAAAAATCGTCTTAAACTAATTCAGCATTACCTAACAACTAGTTTATCCAAAAAACATCAATGGACCAAATGTTAGTATAATTATTATATACATACACATTCTATTCTTAGAAAACTAGCATTACCCTTATCGAATATATAACGTTGTTGTTTTGCATAACTTTTGTCCTTTGGTCATTTAATAGAATCTAGTCCAGAATGTACTACAACTAGACGTATAACAACAATCTCGAATTCTCTATGTGGCTATGCACTTTACCAAAGAACGTCTTTATCATAATAGATTTGCTTATCATTAGTATGAATTTTTTTTTTTTAATGGTAGTAATCTCGTGCATGGTTTACGAACGCATACAAAGAATAAGAAAAAAAACACCTTATACCAAAACTTGTGAATACATTGGAAATAATTTTTTTTTAATTGAACGTAAAATTGTATTAAAACCAAAACTTTTATACAATGAACTTTTTTTTGTTTGTTATGAGATTTCTAAAAGTGGTCTAGAAAGCTAAAAAAAATAGAATTAGAAAGCTGAAAAAATAGAACATGATAACGTTATAGAAGAGATGATCATTTGACCAAAAAAAAAAAAAGATGATCCAAAAAAAACTATTATGGTTCGAAACAGGGGAGGTTCTGAGGGTTTGCAAGGTGTGCAACCGCACATGACTCATTTTTTTAGTTAATTTTTATTGTAATTTAGAGTCCAAAAATTATTAAAATTATATAAATAAGGGTCCAAAATTTTAGATTTTAGCAAATATAGACCATTTTTTTTAAAAAGTTAAAATTTTTGCACATGGCTCAAAAAAATTTTAGCCTCTTTTGAGCCGCCCCTGGTTCGAAATAGTCATGTTAAGAAGACGATTCCTTATAACTCTATCAATCTCTAGTTCTATTTTAATATAAAGATTTATGATCTTTTTCATCTGTGTAATTAAATCTGAGATCTTGTAGATTTTCACAACGCAAACGTTTAAAACCTTAGATCACATCTTATATAATATAGTAAGGTTTCTCAAAATTTAAGCCATGAGAGGTTGCTATGTGTCATCTATTTTTTTGATCTTTGTTTTTTTAATTTATTTATTAAAAAAAAATTAAGTATCTTTGAATAACTTTAGCAATTAATTCTAACAATTTAATTGCTCATTTTTATGTAAATTAATTATAATAATTCATAATTAAGTGCTTTGTGTATATTTATCTAATTTTTATGTAAATTAAAATATAATTTTTATGCATAGAAAACATATACTTTATTTGAAACAATATCTAATATTATATAGATAACTGTGATTAAAGAAAAGTCGCAAACGAAAAGTTTTAATAAAAAGAAGCATAACATAAAATAAAAAGATGATGTGAGAAACTTAAAGAGTGATTTTTGGATTTTTAGGCATGTTAAATCCAACAAATCTGATTGGAGAAATATAGAATTTAAACGTTTTTTAAATGCTTTCATAGTTTTTAAAGCCAATTTACCAATTTAACAATTACCCTCTAATGCAATTTAAACATTTTTTTAAATGTTTTTATAGCTTTTAAAACTAATTTACAAATTTAATAATTACCCTCTAATGCAATTGAAATCATTTTTGTTGGACAAAGTAACGTTTCTAACCAAAAATTTCAAAATAAAACTTTACTCCACCGTAAATTATAAATCTAGAAAAACAAAATCACTTCACCAATGAATTGATGTGAAAAATAAAAATCATAACAAAGCGATAAATACAGTGAGACAAAAATACAATCAAACATCAATTATCTCTTCTTATGATTCAAAATTCTAATGAAGTAAATAAAAAGATGCATTCCAACACCTATGTTGAGAAGATGTAGAGAAGCAAAGCATAGTACAACTTGTCTGACAATAAATTTTTACAAACGTATTCATTTTTTAGGAAACCATAGTGAATATTGATTCAAACATACAAATTAAATTATTAGTATTAATTTTTTACTATATTAACTTTTAAACTCCACGCAAACAATCTCCAGTTATAAAATATTTTGTAATTTTGGCAATATTTGGTTTACTAGTATAGTTTCTCAACGTTTTATTTGTTGATTGGTTTTCAAAGTCAAAGTAAAAATTTGCGGCCTGTCAAGATCACTTATGTGCCTTTATTGGTGCATTGATCTCTCTGTCTCACCTCCAAAGTTCTCATCACCTCACAAATGCATTTGCTCGAGTTACTATTAGTAACGTGGATAAAACTCGTGTCTGGTCCTATTTTGTCTTCATTTCGGTTTTGAATTTCTATCCTTTAGAGGAATCCTCTAGAGGAATGTTATTTTTTCTTCTTCTTTTAATAACTTGTATAATTTTGGTTTAAACTCGGATAACTAAAATACTACCAAACAAAAACCAGGAAATTATATGTCTTAATTTCTTTGAAGTTTATCGGCGATTTCAAAACTTCCAAATTCGATCGAGTTCTCGTCAAATTTCAGGCTTCATCCATTGTATTTTTCTCTATCCCTTAGCCAAAGAAGTCCTCTCCCTTTGTTGTTGTTCAATGTTTCTGTTTATGTTTTCTTTGTAGTGTTCCTACATTCTTTTCAATTCAATACAACTTTCTAACAAAGAAATTAAATGAGGTGTTTGTAAATATGAGTTTGGACTACTCTATTTACACGATATGAATGAAGATTTTTCAAATGTCAAAATTTTCATTATAAAATAACTGAACTGATATTTATTTATATTTAAAGATACCTTGTTTTCATCAACATATGGCTTAACTTTA